GTATATATATGCGCAGGCATCTAAACCGCATGTAAACAGAACAGATGATTTTTTCACTGTTACAGAACTAGTTTCTATGGAGTATTCTTGTACATAATACTTATTCTAATAATTTTTTTAATTTATACGGACGGTGGTCATGATTTTTTTCTGGTAACAAATAGCATTGCGTCTTTTTCATTGGTCAAACTGAGTTACCCGCTGACGCCGTATTCATGCATGGGTAACTTCGGTCGATTTCTGTTCAGCTGATTTGCATTTTATTTGTAAAAACTAAATACTATAAATTAAAAAGGTGTGAATTTAAGTTGCAAAATTAAACATAGTTGATAAATTTCACGCCAGGAATATCCACTGTGTCTTTCTATATATACAAGATATTTTCAGAGGTGATAAACTGATAATTCCCCGCAATGGTTTAAAAATACTCGTCCGTAATTTTTGGGGCGATATAAGTGTCTTCTTGCATGTAATTTTCCAGTGAAGAAATAAATTTCGACTTTTATTATCGACATTGATTTGTATATGAGAAATGCATTTTCTTTCTGCATAAAATACATGTAGATGTATGTACACTATAATGGGTTATAAACAAATTATTTTAAGGTATTTATGAACGGTCGAAATTAACCAGGTGGTCGAAGTTACACCATCCTAACCAATATCCTGACGTTAAATTCCATTTATATGGAAAGATTATGAGATGTGTGTAATGAAAAGTCTCGTATCTATGTAAGTAAATTACACCATTTGATAAATAAATACATCAATCAGTGGGCGGTTTTGTAACGTACACCGTCTGATTTTAAATTCATTTATTTACCTTCGACCAGCCTTTAAATATTGCAGTATTTTTTCTTGCATCATGATAGGAAATTGACAAGTGCAGTCTACCCTTCAAACGAAATCGGGAGACGTTTTCCGGTTTGAATAATTATGAGATAATATTCATAGCCTAGGGAATGCAAGGTTTTCAGACTTGATTTTTAAGAAAACCGATACTTAGTCATTAACTGAAATTACCATTTTTTTAATTGACCATTAATTATAAATCCAAAGTATGGCATTATTAATATTAGTCATGTCATACTTTGAAAATTTTAGGGGGGGGGGGGCGTGCGCCCCCCACGCCCCCCTTAAATCCACCAGTGGCATGAAATAATTTTTGAAATTTATTTTTAATTTTGTACTGATAATATATTAAACTAACCAAAGTCTAATGTATTTAGAAGTTGACTTCAGTATTTGGATGATGAAAAGCTGGAAAATTCTGATCAAGTGTTTAAATGTATGTAGAATAAATAAAGTTATTTCTTCGGAAAATAAAAGGACCATTGCAAAATGAAAGAAATGAACTAAATTGTCATGTTCATGTTTTATTTAAGATTTTTCTGTAATGATTAAACAATTTTAGATGTCTTTTAGATGCCTTACTCTTTATCAAAACTAACAAACCCCACCCCCACCCCCCGAAACACACACACACCGTCACACACACACAAGCAGTTTAGATATATCTATCAAAAAATATATTGTGAACTAGTGGCGGTAAAAGAGAAAAAGTCATAGGAATGTTAATTCTGCATCTTGAATTGTCCTTTTATTAATTTATCTGTTTAAATGCTATGCATGAAATTCATTTGCAGTTGCGTGGTGAACATCATGATTCATTAATCGATTTGATTGTAGTTTTATGTCTCTTGCAAGCTAAGATTATTTCACACAAAACAAATATTTCCTTTATTTCATATTTTGTTATGTTTTCCTATGAAGCCAACAAAACAGGATTACACACAGTGTGGTAATACATTGGCGGATCGAAAAACATGGAGGGCCCGGGGTTTTACTACCCCCCCCCCCCCCATTTTTTTCTTTGGGACATTTGCATAATTTTTCTAGAATTGTAATGTTTTAAGTATTTTATATTTAGTATTCATTGATTAGAAATATTATATTTAGCAAAAACCTAGTATTAAACAAAACACATAATATTTTAGATCGATTGGATACAACCTACTGTGTATTCTAGATCCTCTGTCTTGAACACCCCACCCCTTGCAACTGTTTGGTCCGCCTCTGTAATGTCTGAGAGTTTAATGTAGCATTTTAGAAAACATTCGGGAGTGAAAAGCAAGTCTACCATCAATAATATCATATGTTAAGTTAGTATCGATAGCCTCTCTTTAAAATGAGTCACAAACTATACTCTGGTATTTGGACCACAGACACTTGATTCTGTAATATTTTTTTAACCAATAGTATAATGCAAGGTATCTAACTCCGTACATGGAGTACCCCCTCCCAAGAATCGTAGTCATTTACGCTTTCAGAGCAAATGCACTGGCAAACTGTTTATTACCATTCTCTATCTACACAACCACATATGGCATGCATGTCTTTATTTCTTTTATCTCCATAAACAGCGTAAAAACGCCGCCCGCCGACTGGAAAATTCGTCCCATACCATTTATATTAAGTGGACCGACGTGAATTGAGTATAAATTAAGTAATAGTGAGAGACTGATGTTTTAAGGCCATTTTACACTGCATGAACATTAATATCGGGATTACGCACCTCATTTTGCCGATATATAGAATAATATAGAAAACATAGCTACTATATACTTGTGCCCCCTCAATAATAACGTCTGATGACCTTTTTTTTTTTTGCTTGTCAAGGAATTTTTGGTAGTTGATAGTGCCCCCCCCCACTAAAAATCTGAAAATGTATGGTTGTCCCCTCCCCCCCCCCCCAAAACTGAGATTGCTTCCTATGCAGTAATCGTAATCGTAATCGAGTAATCGTAATCGATTGTAATGATTACTTTTTTTCAAGTAATTGACAGTAATCTGTAATCGAAGAGATTTTCGATTACTTGTAATCGTAATTTAATCGATTAAAGCTAAAATTTTCAATGTAATAAATGGATGTTATTTTGGAGAATTATTTCCAGTCAGTAACATAAATATCAAACATAAACCACCTAGTGTAATGTTTCGATTTCCTAACTTTTATTATCATAAGTTTAATAATGTTCTCAATAAAATTTTCATTATAGACCTACTGGTCTAGTATTAAATAATTCAGAAGTGTATTTCAACTATTTATTAATAAAATATACAGATTTTTCGTGTGCATTTTACATTTGATCCACTGTCCTCTTGCTGCATGTCCTTTTTCATATTTCAGATGTTGAAAAACTACGGGCCTGCACCTCTTGCGAACGTACATGTACACGCAATCACAAGGCCTTGACAATGTACAAATCATATTGCTGTAAATATACATGTATATACAAAATATAAATAATGTCTGGAAAAAAAGGGCTTATTTTTTTCTTTGAGAAGTGCTATACAAATTAGAAAGGTAGAAAGGATAGTCAAGACAAAATTTTATTTAAGACCCCCCCCCCCTTTAAGTCGTTAATTCCCCGTTCCCTGAAAAATAAACACAAGAATCGTTTTTCTCCGGCATGTATAGGCACGGCTTATTCAAACTTCCTCCTTTCCTAAACTGTGAACATTTTCATCACATAAATAAACGTAAGAAACAGAGGGGGTTTTATACATGAAGACAAGACACGATATAATCTGGTGAAAACAATACTCTCTTTAATGACCTACCCTGTTTTGTGTCGATAAGTTCATATAATACTCACTCTGTGCTTTTTAGCCTTGAAGGTGGAGGAGAACGACAAGACTAAAGTAAGAAATTTCTTCACTTTATCATGGAAAAGAGTTTCAACCAAAAAATTTTTTTTAGATCCTTTTATTTTCTTGTTTAAGAAAACTGAGTGTGATACCAAGAAGGACCTATATACTAGTATATATAGTTCCCTGGTGATACCGTGGGTCCTTTCTCTCCAAAGTTTTAATACTTCCCTAAATATCCGAGTGGATGTTTTTAAATATCAGGTCAGCGAGAGGGTTTCAATATTATTTGATTGAATAAACACCTTTTTAAATTTTATTCCGAAGAATCTTTCACTGATGACATATGTACATATTCTCTGGTTTACTATCCTTGGAAATGTTATATATATAGCCCATTGTGAAAATGCATGAATGTTGCGAATGCATTACATTTTGAAATATAGAGAAGAAAAAATTAAACATACGTTCCTACACCTAGCTTAATTGTTCAAACTAGCTGACCGGCCGTGAACCCACACAGAGGTGAAAATCTGTCACGTTTATATATGAGGATCGAAAAGAAAATCCGTAAATCTATTCCGTGCACGTGACAATTCACCCAATTTAAAGAACAAGACTATTTATATAACAGTATAAAAATAAATAAAAATTTCTTGTTTGTGTTGAAATTATTCCCTGGCTTAGAAGGGAAATCAGATTATTTCATTTACCTGATTATATCATGGTTGTTTTTGTGCCTTATACAAAGTATACATTGTATAAATGTACAAGCGCTATATATTATGCCCATCCCCGAGGGAGGGGGAGGGGGCACTGTCTTTTTTTTCTTTAGTAGGGGGTGTGCAGCTGAGATATTAAAACCACACCCTTTCCATATAATTCAATTTTAAATATACTTAAACATTTATATACATTGTAAAAAACAGAGAGGTAATAAATATCTGTATATTTCAAAAAGTTTTAATGAAAATTTACTAAATGATATTAATGTTAGAAAAGTTGTTTGAATTATCATTCTATCCAAGTCAAGTTAACGCAATGCAGCAACTGGGTTAAGAGAGGGGATGTCTTATAAACTACTTTGAAGAAGATTATTACCTCATATTTCAAATCGGAAATTCCACAACGCACTTTACAAAATAAAAATGAAGCAGAAAAGGGTTAACTGTTCTAGGGGGCACATCAATACTACCTTAAATGCATGTATATCCCATCAACTTCTCGGGAATGTGACATTTATTGGACGTACTACATCATGCAGATCATATACATAGTCTATAATTCCCGTTTTTTGTGTTTTTTTTATTGAGAAATTCAACAGAAAGTTGTCAAACACTTGTTCTGTTTTCCTACCTAATATAATTATATAGATAAAATTTCATAAGTTTTTCTTAAGTAAAAAGCGTGAGATGGTCGGACGATCACATGATCATAGTGTTTAAAACAAGGTCGAGCGATATTTTTATTCCGGGATAGCCTTGGATGAACCATATCGCATCAGCGCTTGCAGAAGGAAAGAAGCTTAAAATTGTAAGTATAGGCTTTTAAAAGATAAAATTCATTTTTAATAAATAATTTTTACATACTGTGTTAGGTTCCTTTGAATGATCTGATTTAGTATTTAACTGTACTTTTAATTTTTTAGAAAAAGAAATGAATTCGACAAAACATAAATTTTCCAACAGAATAATAAATGAACAGAAGAGTAATATTTGGTAAGTACTCTTTCACTCATTCTTTCTCCCTTTTTTAATACAAATAACACATCTTAATCAAAATCAAAAATAATTCTTAACGTGCTGTATACCCTAGTAGTAAACTACTGCGACAGTGCGCGGATCCAGTGGGATTTATTTAAGAATGTGCCCCCAATCATTATGCATTTGGCAGAACTCAAAAGTAAAAATCGAGCACTAAGTAGAGATTTTTTTTTTACAAAGGAAGTGCAATCAATATATTTCAATTCATTAAAAAAAAAATTCTAAGCCTTTGCGACTACCATCCGCTGTTTGTTTATCAGAAATATAACATTTCTTTTTAACGAAGTCAACAATATTGGAGCTTAGTTATATTTGTGTATGACATACTGAAGTAAAATGTTGTCCCCTTTGGACATAATGACGTTGACAGTTAAAGCGAGTAATCAAATCTTGGTCTGGAAAAGAACTGATAAAGTTTGAGTATTATATCAGAATACAAGTGTTAAACTGACGAATTTTTTTCACGCAATTTTCTAAATTGCAAACACTAAAATATCTTTCATACAGATTTCTCCACTCTTACCTGTCTCACGGGGTCGTTTGTAAAAAGAAGGCATCCACCCATAACATGTTTCAAATAATGATGCAAAGTGAAGTTTATATTTTGTATTCTGGCTTTATGTCGCGCTCTCATATCAATAGACTTAATGAGTTTTTATATACTCTTCCCTCAACATAATTCATAAAATTATGTCATAAAGGTATTGGTTGTGTTAAGGTTGCGTCTCTCAATAAGTAGATTCTGATGCGTTGGAGAGTGCTTTTGTACCTACGGAGTGCCTATAACTATACCATACTTCGCATGGTAATTCTAATGTGAATTAAAAAAAAAATTAAATCAGCGAAGTGAAAAGAATATTTTCATATAGACTCAAATATATTAGTTTGTCAATGTAAGAAATCGTTACAATTGAATCGTTGAACTAATTTATCATTGCACGTCGAACGTGTATGTTAAATAAATAGTTTTTCAAAAGGTGTCAACGATTTTTTCTTTTACATATTTTTTGTTTACAGGGAAGAAATTTTACAATTATCGGCCAAATGTGGAGCTTTAAATTTAGCACTGGTGAGTAGTAATTATACTAATAATACCTCCTTAAAGTGCACATAGCTTTATGGAATTCATTTGTCAGTTTGTTCGAGCATTATTTCGTTTGTTCCTCCGAACAACTTCGACCACTTTGCAATCTACGCCTTGTCTTATTTACTTCATTCTTAGTACATACCAAGAACCTCAGTCTTACTTACATAAATGAGGTACTTGCATAGCTGTGTGGTTTCATCGTTCTAATCTTATTACCTGGGGGTCAAAGTTAGCTGATTAATTGAAGGTCGTATCTCTGGAACCACGAAGAAGAATGTTGTGGTGCTTGAAGGCTAAAAAGAATATTGTGGTCTTCAAACAAAAGTTGCATTGCTTAAGTGGTCTGTGATTAACTTGATCTTTAGAGGTCAAGATTACTGTACCCGCTTTGTTTATCTTTATCTAAAGAAAAGGAGGAAAATGATATGTAGCAGTCGTTTAGATAAAAAATTCTACTAATGATAAAATGTTGCATTGCATTGTTTGCTATACAAAGACTCGATATGATTTTAATTCTTGCTTGAGTCATACCTTGTTTTAAAGGTTAAGGCCGTTGTATAAATAAAACAAAACCAAACTTAAAGCACCAAAGAACATAAGCTCGTACTTCAAACAATAGTCCTATTGATTCATAAAAGAATCACTATCAAGCTGTGAAAAATATATTAATTAGAAAAAGGTTCATGGTCACTTGTAATTCCATGACTCAAGACGTCTGTTACAAATCAGGGAGTTGAAAATAAAGATAGGAAATTATTTCATTCTTTGCAGGGGTTTCCAGACTTTGCTCCACCAAAGCATATACGTAACGCACTTGAACACGTGACTAATCAATCCAATCACATGATTCACCATTATACGAGGACACTTGTGAGTAACTTTGTTATTGTTTTTTCTTTCAAAAAAGAACTTGTATATTTCGATAAAGTACCTGTATTAAAAATAAACAGACACAACTTCAGGAACGTGAAATATACTAGTAATTTAAAACATATATACATGTACAACAAAAGTTTAATATAAGCATATTATTAATCATTTTATAATAATATAAAAGGGTCATCCTCGACTGGTAAAAATTCTGGCCAAACTATACAGCCGAGAGCTTCAGCAGACCTTGGACCCTATGAAGAATGTGGTCACAACCATCGGTGCCTACGAAGCGATGTATGCAGCTTTCCAGGCCTTGGTCAACCCCGGAGACGAGGTTGGCTTTTATGTTATGCCATGGGAAATATGCATGAGACAGTACTAACTAGTACTTACCTGTATTAACGTATATATATATATATATATATATATATATATATATATATATATATATATATATATATATATATATATATATATATATATATATATATATAACATTTACTCTTGCTAAGTAATGGTGTGAATCAGTGTAGAATGATACTTGAATAATTCATTTATTTTACAGGTTATCCTTTTGGAACCTTGTTACGAGCCGTACAAAGTTGTGGCCGGACTGGCAGGGGCCACTGTGCGCTATGTTCCGTTAATTCCGGTATGTTCGCATTTATTGTAGATAGAACGTTCTATCGTTAAAATGATCTTGTCCTACGGACCCGGTGGTGAAGGGCTTGTCCCGAGACACAGTTAGATTATTCTAACTACATTTATTGCTGCCTATAAGTTGTTTTTAGGGCTCATATTTATGTATTCACTGTATATTAATTATGTAAGGTTTTTTGCCTTTGCACATATTGTACACAAAAAATTGAATAACTCGAGTTAGCGCATTTGAAAAATTGTATAAACACCAATACGATTGAAAGCAAAATTTAAAAATAATAACTGATATTTACCTTCTTTTATCACTTAGTTATCTAAATGTTATTTAAATTTAATTTTCATTTTCCTAGCACTTGATCATGGTCTTTTGCGTTTTTTGATTTATTTCTAAGGATTTGTTAGGATATCAACTGTGGAATGTAAATTATATGCATAAGACATTCTAAAAAAAAATGGACATCATTATGGTATAAATAAAAATGAGTATTTGAATTGCATAAAACAGAAACAAGGCTCAAATGAAAGTGATGACTGGACATACGACATAGAAACCTTGAGGGGGGCATTTAATAACAAAACCAAAGCCATCGTTGTAAACAACCCCATGAACCCTCTGGGGAAGGTGAGTGCATTAAATCATTGTCCGTATGCGGAAATAACTTGTAAAACCTTACTCCAATTACGTATTTCTCATCTCCTGAGATATTGAAGAGATCAAAACTTATTTAATTAAAAATAACACCTCAGTTAAAATGTATTTTACATTGTGTCCAGGTGTTTACTAGAAAAGAATTACAAGAGATTGCAGATCTGTGTGTGCAACATGACGTTCTTTGTTTCTCTGATGAAGTCTACGAATGGTTGATATACGGAAAACGACAGCTTGTTCGAATGGGTGAGGTTTCAAACTTTTTATCTTGTCTTATTCAGTTATTCTTTATCCTCGACGTTTCAGTGAAAGTAAGATATGTTTAATTAATCAAAACTACTTCTGATAAAGTATAACACATGCATGTAAAATGATCTTGTGGGAATACTTTCATGTACAGTAAAACACAACTACATCGAACACGCTTAGAATGAATTCACGCTAACAACGAAGTGATTTCCATTGCATATAGTTTAAAACATATAATGAACTTCAAAGATATAACAAATTACGCTTATAATGAATGAAAATTGTTCTTTCCTGGCATTTCCTGGTCTGTTTTAATGTGTGTTTCCAGATTTCACACGTTTCATCTCTTTTTAGCGACCCTTAATGGAATGGCTGATAGAACGATAACAATGGGTAGTGCTGGTAAAACCTTCAGTGTCACAGGCTGGAAGATAGGCTGGGCAGTCGGCCCTGCTCATCTCATCTCCGCCATGCATTTATTCCATCATCTTGCCATCAGGGGGACACCCTCAGTCCTTCAGGTACGGTATCTCACATTTATAGCAATTAATTCACAATTAACTATTCAACTGAAATTCCTATTCAAAATGGAATAAATTAAAACATTATGCATTTTACATTTTAAACAATATTACAAAAAATTCAAGAAATACTCCATTTAGGAATGCAAAACTGTATTTATTGATTACGGAATACATGTATTAGTGTACATGTATTAATATCAGTGGGAAACATAAATAATGTTACAATGCCAGCGCAATTAAATCAAGTATATGGCTGTGAGAATTTTTCCACATAAGGATTGATAAGCAGTATTACTCTACTGTAGGAAGCCTTGGCAATGGCTTTTGAGACAGAGGAAAGTCGCCTTGGAAACCCTGACTGCTATTTTACTCTGCTGTCCAAACAAATGGAACAAAAACGTGACGAAATGTCCACTTACCTGAAGGACGCAGGACTGCAGCCCATCACACCAGGGGGAGGCTACTTCATTCTGGCCAACATTTCCTCCATTGGTAGTTATCACAAAATACCCAGATCAGATGAAGTTATAGTGAAAGAGCTTCCCGCATTTCTCTTCATTTCCATGTCGAATACCATGGATAACTACAAAATGAATAAAATAACCAATAAAATAACTAGTGAAAAAACTTAAGTAGAATGGGATTATGGTTATAGAGAGTTTTTCTTGTTTTGTATTTCTTTAAGAAGAGTTCCAATTTTTTTATATTACAAAATCAGGAAATTCATTTTTCAAAGTATGATATTTTATTGAAAATTCATTTTGTAAATATCCACTTAACACTATAATTCTTGTAAACATGAATGCAAAATAATGTTCCTGGATGTTATAAATCAAGGTTTAAGTTTAAATCTTTGTTTACTTAGACACAGAAGATGGAATCGATCTCGGCAGTCAGGAGGCATACGATTCTCAGTTTGTCAAGTGGGCCATCAAGGAAAAGGTTTGTAACAGTTTTTTTTTTTTGGGGGGGGGGGGTTAGAATTTTTTACATTGTTTATAAAATCACAATTTAGTTCTGCATACATATGACTGTTTAATGTAAAATCGCAAATTGAAAATTCAAAATAAAAAAAGAAAACAAAAGTTGAAAAGAGAAAGCCTCCTTCATCCTGTGGACAGAAAGCCAAAAGGAGAAAACAGAATGGAATTTTAGCAAATTACCAGTAATTCTTTAAAATGGTTCTATGGCCTGATTTATTCTTCATGATTGTTTTCTCTCTCTCTCTCCAGAAACTCACCTTCATCCCATTGTCTATATTCTACAGTGAAGAACATAGACATTTTGGAGATAAATTCGTCCGAATTTGCTTTGCAAAGGTTAGATTTTCGATTCTTTTTTTCAATTAAAAGTTTCTTTTTACCTTAAAACTTGTTAATCTTAATATTTTCCGCAGTTTTTAAATGACACTGTTCCTGTTCCAGTTCATGCTTATTTCAAAATCACAGAATAAATAGGGTTAATTAATAAAGTGAACTTTGTACAGTTGAACTTTGGTATCTCGAACATCGATATCTCGAATACCATGGATATGTTGGAAGACCTAATCACTGTTTTTTTTAATGTATTTTAACATCAAAATTTTGAATCTTTGAATATATGGAAGATTTTTTTTCCGGTCCTATCGAGTTTGAGATAACAAGGTTTGACTGCTTATAATCCCCTTTCAATGGGTCGGTTTTATTGTTGTTTAAAAAGTTTGCTTATCACGCATTGCTGTGTAGTAAAGGTTGAGGTGCAAAATTATTGTGCAGATCTCAATTTTTTTACAGACAGAAGATACTTTACAGAAGGCCAGAGGGATGCTGAAAGCCTGGAGTGGAAATGACGAAAATGGTCTCACTAATGGACATAACGGAGTTCTGAATGGCCACGGTGTGAAATAGAATGGCATTGTTTAAAAACATTCACACTTCTAAGCGGTTTTCATATGTTTTAATATGTCAAATTGATGTTATATGTTTTCCCTGTCATATACAACATTGTTGATTAATTTATTGTTTGATTTGATAAAACAGATTTAATTGTTACCTGAGTAGATATTATACTCAGACATAAATCAATTAATGCACGTCGATGTTTTTAGTGCACCTGTTATGAATAAAAAGGATACTAACATAGATACAAGTGTTCTTATCAGCATGATAAAATTTTCTTATAGGGTTGGTGTAAATTGTATAGCCCATGTCTGATCTTTTACAATTTCTTCTAGTTTGCCCTCTTCCATCAGTTCTTTGCATTTGAAGTAAAGTGTCTTTCAAAATGCTTGAAAATTTTACATTTAAAAACTTTTACGGATTTACTTTCTATATGAAGAGGAATGTGTTAATAAGGGAGACGTTAATTTACAAATTACCTTGGGTAACCCGTTTTGGAAAATAAAGGACCATTTCTGGAAAGTTTTCAGAAAGAGAAGTGCAAAATTCATTACTAAGTGTGAAAGTTTCTTCGAAAAAACTAACTTTCATATGCATGATACATGTAATTTGCCCCACACGAGTGGGTTTTTTTTATATGAAATTTTTCTTGGATTGTTCTTGTGACCCCTTTCTTTGTCTAAACCCACCGTCAATAGAAAATCATGTTACTTCATACAGAAATTGTTCTTGCAGTACATAGTTGACCATGACGTTTGCTTAATGTAGTTGTTGTGTTACAAATTTTACTCATGGTAATATCTTTTAAAAGGACAGGGTAACTGAGCTGTTAAACAAAGCTAAACTTTACAAATTAACCACAGACAAGAACAACCGTATACTTAACAATATACTGAAAATGCTGAATCTAAGGTCATTGTAATTGTTCATGCTAAGCTAGTTTTCTTGTCTGCTACATGTCTTTCAAGCCACGAAAAGAAAATAACTCACAACTAACACAATAATTTTGTATGAATATTAAACATTTTAAAAATACTTAATGGAATCACTAAAAATTATGTATGATTATGATGCTGGATAAAAGACAATGTCTAAAAATAAGTAGAGGAGATGATTTTTCATCGTCCTTAAATTCGATAAAAACTTCTCTATGAAGTTAATGAAGTTATGAGTAATTTAGAATACTGTGATTTTTGTACTGTTTTATCTCCTGTATTTGTTAGTTCCAATGCGTTCGTTCATTCAGTACGACCTATTTCTGTTTATAGAGATTCCATTGAGAAGAGGATTAGATTATTATTATTCCTGTAAAACTCAATTGAACCTTTTATTGCGATCCAAATACAAGGTCAAATCCAAGAAGCCAATAATGTTATGGGACAGTGAGAAATAGAAATCACGAAGAACTTTAAAACTGTTGTTGTCCGACATACTGCAGCGAGCCGCTGTCACTATCCCAGTTTCTAGTAGAACTTGATCATAGTCACTTCTACTAGATCATAGTCACTCCCTAGTTTAACTGTTAAAAATATATTTAGTATACTACATGTATTAACATAATGGTTATGTTTATAGTATAGTAGATATATTTTTTCTAAATTAAGCTTGGGAGTGCCTATATATGAACTACAATAAAGAAATTAAAACTTTGTCTTTCAAGCTATTTGTCATTGCTTCCTGATACAACCTTACTCCTAATCCGGTAACAGTGACATTCTATACAAATATTTAAGTTGAAAATTGCAATTTTATTTGCAAGTATCTCGAGCAAATACGAAATATATTTAGAAATCAAACATTTTTATGAGTATATTGATACATATAGATTTCATGAATACGTACTGTATTACCGAAAGACCTGCAATGACCACACATTACACTTTTTCGACAAACTAGACACCCTATGAAGGCCCACGCTTTTGTTTCATATGAAACATTTTTTTTTTAATTCTGTAAAAAAATAATTTTGGTAACAATTTTTTGGCCCATATTTTGTTTAAACTTGAGAAATTATTACAATCACCATTACTCTGGCCAAGAACAAAACATAAGGCCATTCCATTTTTAAAGCGTCCATTCCTTAAAATCAAAAACCTATCTTTCTATCCGAGAAAAAAAACACACACAAACCAATAGAAAAAAAATAGAATAATATTATAAATTTCTCATCAACATTTGAGAACAAATTTAAAAAAAAAAACACTTTTATATAAAAATCCAAATTACTGGTTAAAAACCAAGAAAAAAAATTAAAAAATGAAATGCTGATCCAAACGCAGTACAGAATTTTAAAATGCGTTGTGAATATTTGTAGTTTGTGTAAGTTCTGGTGTTTAATTTTTTTTTCAAAAATTTCATTATCTCAAAACCAATCTGTCAGCAGACGCTAAAAGAAAAAGAATTGGAATGACCTAAATCCGTGTGCAATGTATTTTTTACCATATCGAAATATACTCAAAATTATGGACTCTTGATGATATAAGTTGTAATGTGACTTTTAAAATCACGGGCACCTGCAAGTTATGCTAGGTAAATAATTGTTAAATATTTGTTACCTTAGTAATAGACGGGATACTTTTTTTCTATTTGCTAAAAAAATCTAGTTGTTTAGTTTTACCACTATTGTAAAAAAAAAAAAGAAAATAACTACTCTTTTTTTCCAGAAGATATCCGTTCAACATCAAATACCATTGTTCTAAAAAATCAATGAACGGTTGGTAGGCGTAACTGAAAAATCACATGACTCTGCATCCGAAATTTTGTGGAAAGATATTGTGAGTTTTTAAGTGATTGAGCGGTTTAATACTGATACAACATATATACATGTAAGTACAGAATGTCGAACCCTTCCAGGCACATTAACATGGAGAGAGTTTACGGAGGACGGAAGTGTGGAAATATTTGGTGAGTTTTATTTCTTAATTAATAACATGTAAATTACCAAATTTATAAATTTCCAAATTCTAAATTAAAATATTTCATGAAGGGAGGATATCATCGTCCTATCTGCTGAAAATGATGCACTAAACATGGCTTTGGTAAGTTTAAATCATTCTCTCTTAAAGATCATTATTTCATAAATAAAATACAGTTAAACTTCGTTATCTCGAACACTGAAATCTCCAATACCAGAGATATGTCGAAGTGATTAGGAATTCCCAATCACTTAAAAAAAATCCTCTTTTGCCTAACTGTCTTTCGCAGTTCCTCCCTGTCTCTAATTCTAGAGATACAAGATATGTCAAGTGATATGGCAGTTACAATCACCTTTTCTTTATGTTTTTCCTCTTTTTGGCTAACTGCATGTCTTTCGCAGTTTTGAACACTCTGATTTTTGGGGCCTTGCAGGGTTTCCCCGACTTTGCGCCATCAGATCACGTGGTTCAGGCCCTGGAGGAAGTGGCTACTTATTCTGACCATATGATTCATCATTATACCAGGGCAGCAGTAAGAACTAGTACTGATTTCGTGGGATTTATAGTGGTTAACATAATTGTTTTGCATTGTTGATTTTTTTTAACATTAAATGTGATATAACTTAAATCTTCAGTCTTAAAATTTACAATTTTGCATTGTAAAATTACATTCTCACATTGCAAACTGATATGGAATGGTAATGAAAAAAATGAATAATTGAAAACATATGTCAAATAACAGCATAAACACTACTGAATATAAAAAAAAAATGCTATATCATAATTAAAGGCGGGTGTACCTTTTTAAATAATACAAACGAATACTGATTTTATTCCTAAGGGTCACAAACGCCTGGTTAAGGTCCTGTCCAAAGTATATTGCAGACTTTTAGAGAGGAATATTGATCCAATGACCGACATAATGACGTCAACAGGTGCCTATGATGCTCTGTATACAACATTCCAAGCTCTAGTCTGTCCTGGCGACGAGGCAAGTTGTGTCAAACAGATAAATATATCAAGTAAAATCGACATGTTTTATGAACTTGCATTAATTTGATATACTTTAAATACTGAATAAGTGTTCTAACTTGACTTCAAGCACATGTTACATGTACAGAACATTTAAACATAATTATATGTTGGATGTTTTGGTTATCCTGTTCATACGACACTCTCCCCCTGTTTGCTGAGTATGTCATGTATATAAACCGTATTTTGTCTCAATTCCTTTGAAAATAGAAGAATGACGACTTTATTATTATCATATTAGTTGCATTTGTGTACATTTAGTGTAAAACAACATTTTTAAAGTAATGAAAACTTAATAAAAGGGGGTTCAGTAAAATACTTTACATGAAATGTTTTATGTTATTACAATATCAATATATACGTGTTGTATTATAGGTGATCCTAATAGAACCATGTTACGAACCTTATATGGAAATGGTTCGACTCGCTGGAGCCTCAGTTAATTACGTGCCTCTAATTCCAGTACGTAAAACCCCTTCTTTATAAATATTTTTCAGTAATCACGTTAGTACAGTATGTCAAGTGCATTACATACCGACATCAACTTTTTCTCAATTTAGAAAACTGGTTCAACAAACAGTGATGATTGGGCGTTTGATTTGGTGACATTGGAATCGACTTTCAGTGCAAAAACAAAAGCTATTGTTGTTAATACACCAATGAATCCACTGGGAAAAGTAGGACTTTGATTCAAATTTTTGGCAATATTTTCATATCCATGTACTTTGCTTTCTAATTCAATTTGTAATCAACCTTTTTTTGGTTCATCTTGGTAGGAAAGAAATCGGTTCTAATATCAACGTACTCTTCAAGGAGCTAATAACTAAAATTTATCTTTATTCTTATCAGGTCTTTAATAAAGATGAACTACAAGTCATTGCAGATCTCTGCGTTAAGTACGATACACTATGCATCGCCGATGATGTGTACCAATGGCTTATCTACGGAAAAAGAAAACATATTTATATGGGTATTTATCAAATATAGACATTAAATAATTTCACATTGTCAAAGAAATAAATGGTTATGCTTCATTGACTCTCTGTTAAGAGAGATAAGGAATTCTTGCTGGGATAAATATCATTTTTGGACGGGATCACCTCTATTAGCTAAATCTCAAACGGAAGCCATGCACTTAGCACTTCATTTGAATCTACGCTAGAGAAAAGAGTGCAGAAATAGACACTCTGACTAAATCAAAGGGAAGAAAGAAATTAATGGTTGAAAAACCTGATAGCGTTGTTCAAATTCAAGTAGGTTTGAATTTATCTTAACATTTTCGAAAGATGCACTCAAATATTACGCATTCGAGTACTGAGTAATTTGTATGCATGTAATAATTTTTTGACAGATTAAAATTTTCAAAAGGCTAAAAAAATAATAAACAAAGGGTGTACAGCTGTTGAAGCAGACGTTTTACATCATTTTAAGTCGAAAGGTTAAACTTGCTATGGTAAAAAAAATTCAATTTAGAATTGTAGACAGGTTATGCACATACTATGCAATTGTTCGCCGCAGTTCAAACACCGTCCGTATACATGCGGATAACGAGGGGCCCAAGCTAATTTCGAGTAAAGGAAAATAGGCCAATTTTTGAATTCATTTCAGCATACCTTGGAAAGTAAAAAGAATTTGGGAATGAACTTCGGTCAATCTAATTAAAATTAGACTTGTATTTTCGTTTTATCCTCTACAATGCACTTCAATACAATTGTCTGTAGATTACATGCAGTCATTTTGTTATAAGTATTTAATTGGCGTAATTGTGAACCTATCTAAGAAGTTCCATACCTTTACTTTTTTTATATATCTCAAATTTGTCAGTAAGATTAAATCGATCTAAATAAATGTAACATTCTTTAATGTCTGTCTTATTTTCAAGCTACCCTGGATGGGATGGCGGAAAGAACAATACACATTGGAAGTGCTGGGAAGACATTTAGCGCCACAGGATGGAAAACCGGATGGGCCGTGGGTCCTGCCCATTTAATAAATGCTCTACAATGCTTCCATCATTTGTCTATTCGTGGAGGACCTTCTGTCTTGCAGGTGCTTGGAAATAATTTAATGAAATAAGCCGTTGTAATGAGAGAGATGATGGAATTGTCTGAATTTTTGTAAACTTATGACATTTAAAAAATGAGACCATCTAAAAAAGTGTGAAAGTATATTTAAAATATAACTGTTTTTATAATGAGAAAGCACTCGGGCAATTCAACAATTTTATCCTCCGTAACCAGAGATTCGGGTATATAGTTGTTTGGTCCGTTGTGTGTTTCTTGTGACAAGATCTTTCTTTGGGTACCCAACCTTAACCTTCTTTTGTAAAACTTTAACCTTGATCATAACTTTTAACTAGGGTTTTCATATTTCACATGTGTATTCTTCCTTTAAACATCAACTTTTTGGACTGACAGCCGGACAGATAGACAGACGAATGAGACTTAATGTCCCCGCACTGTTGCGAAAGCGGGGGACAACAACCAACAAGATGTATTTGTAAAACACTGATGCCTTTGTATGGCAGCTCATGGCCAAGGTTCAAGTTTTTCAAAAGTACATCAATCTCAAGGCAAATATCAATATACATGTAGAAGAAGAAATTCACTCTTTATCAGTTACTAAACTAGTATTTAATTTTGTCGCCTTTAAAGGAAGCAGTTGCGATAGCTTTTGAGAAAGAAGAGCAAAGGCTGGAAAGTGAAGACAGCTATTTCAAAGTTTTGTCTGCGGAAATGGAGAGTAAGAGAGATCAACTGATCAAGTGTCTCCGCCAGGCGGCGCTAAACCCAGTGATTCCAGGGGGTGGCTACTTTATAGTGGCAGATATCTCTAAACTAGGCAAGGATTTACATGTCTGACTTTAAAAAGACAGCTACTTTAGAGAAGAATTTATTATACAAAATTGTCTCGAAAACCCTTGTAGGTTTGAACAAAAAAGCCATGAAGTAAAAAAAAAAAATATATGTATGTTCTAAAGAGTTAAAGTTATGCTTGCAGCACTCAGTGGCTAGTCTTTTAATGCAATAGTCAACTGTAGATCAACTAATTTTTGCGAGATAGTTAATTGGTATTTATAAGTGAGAAAACATTTTCATCAACTTTGGTTATTATTGTTTTATAATCTTTTTATTATGTATACATGTACAAATATACGCGAGGTTGAAATCTCAGCGAGCAGACGGTCGCGTAATAAGGATAAAATATAGTTCTCACTGATAAAAAGTAATTTACAATATTTAATCTATTATGCTAAAAATAATGTTAATTACTGTGTACAATGCATGACACTTGTCAATAAAGTAAATTGGTTTTCATAGAGACCAGCATCAACAGTGAAGAATCAAATGGGGAAGCTTTCGATATAAAATTCGTCAAGTGGGCCATTAAAGAAAAGGTAAACCCCCATTTTAACAGATTGAGAATAATAATGTATCTTTTAAATAGATTATTGTATTTCGGAGAATTTTATTTGTAGAAGCTCACCGTCATTCCACTGTCTATATTTTACTGTCAGGAACATAGAAATCTTGGAGATAAATATGTTCGTATTTGTTTTGCAAAGGTAAGAAAACTGTCTAGACAACTTGATACATAAAATACACACTTATAACACTATTCGTAAAAGTTATTTGCAGATTACACCATTGAAATACCAGTTATAGGTTTAAGTATAATTGTTTGGTGAGGTGTTTACCTTCTTGTTAGTATGCAGGTTCACAATTAAGGATAGGTTCCCTCTTTCATCATAACGGACGGGTTTAAGAATATTAGCTTGCGGGAATTTTTTTTTATGTGCACATTTAGCGTAATGCTCAATTTTGGTACTTGGTAAAAGTGACAGAGTTCGTTATTTTACGTATTTTTTGACATTGTGATTTGAATATATATATATATATATATATCATTTTCGAGAACATCGACGATTGCAATTCAAGCATGCTTTACAAGAGTTTGTAAGGTTAAAGGTGACGATAACCAACAGTGATCAATCTCATAAATCCACTAAACAGAATGAATTACTAATAGGGCAAAAACAAGGACCTCCGGAAACACCAGAGGCGGGACCAGGCGCCCAGGAGAAGCAAGCCCCCCCCCCCCTCCCCAGCCGACCCGATCGGCCACACCCGCCATGAGCCATGTATTTATCATGTAAATTTTGAATTTACTAGGTCGAGGTAATGCAAAATTTACATCATATATTGATCAGGCAAACGGAGCACTCCCTAGTCAAATTCAGCACAAAAGCAACGACTTAACAAATGGTACGAAACATGACAAGCAAAACACGATCCAACGACAGGTGGCATCTACAAACAAGGCCACCACAATGCAGAACCCGCGAAAGGCCGACCCCAAAAGGGGCTACCGAAACAACCGCAACATGAACCCACCTGCCGCCCGCCCCTGTCCAAAAAATCGATCGCACCCAGATCACGCTCCCGCGCACTGAACCAGTCGGGAGACACAAACACCACACGCAGGAGATGCTGGAACATCGTTTTACAAACAAGGAAAGCCGACGATGTAAAAGCTGCGGCCATCCAGCTTGTAAGTCCAGTCACTAGTTGGCCAATAATGTTTACAGTCAGCAAAACATCCAAACATGAAACAGATGGGACAGATTCTGTAGTGTCTTTTATTTCGAGTTCACTGGGATATCTCGAGTCGACATGTGAAGGAAAATAACTATTGTTAATAAATTATTGATAAAACGTCGTCGTTATATCTAAATTCGAGTTGGAGGCCACAGCAAGAGTTTTCTTCTTCTCAAGAAGAATTTTTTGGATAAATTCTGTTTCATAGGAATACAGAAACAGCTTGGCCAACAAAGAAGCAGAATTAGTGCCCATCGAAATTCAAACAATTTGTTGGAAGACCTGGTCTCCAAAGACTACATAGATATTTCAATGAGGAACTGCAGCTTCCCCCAAACACCAACCTTAGAGCACCCGCATGCAGAACCAGAAGGACCTCCAACAAAGCAACCCTGCAGACGCCCAATCACAAGATACTAGTATGAAAATTTACGAGTTCCATTTTTCACGAATAAACAATTTTCTATTATGTCAAAAAGCCTGCTCTTAAATTTACCGCGAGGAATGGTTGTATAAAGCGTAGAAAAGTCATATGATTTGATGCTATAGATGTTTGAAAAGTTTTGAGATTTTTAATTTGAAGTTTTGGAATCCAGTATAAATCAAACTCACTTCCATTGACTGGAATGTTAAACGTAAGGACAGGTCTACTGAAAACGGAAGGATATATTAGATAGGTCGCATTTAGTTAAACTGGGCAACATCCATAATTACAAACACTATAGTCTGTATTCTAGTAATGAAGAATCCAATTTTATGGACTTACGAGTACTTTAGTTTCTTCGAATAATCCAAATAAAATTTTCAAGGGCACAGAAAAAAGATTTAGTGTGAATGTAATGTAGACCTAGTTGTTTATTGGCGCAACCCTAACAAAAAAATTACTATAGTAAACTATAGTTTACTATAGTAAACTATAGTTTACTATATTGGCGCAACCCTAACAAAAAAATACTATAGTAAACTATAGTTTACTATAGTAAACTATAGTTTACTATAGTATCAAAGTTATAACTTTGGAACTTTGATTTACTATAGTGAAAACTTTGGAACTTTGATTTACTATAGTGAAAACTTTGGAACTTTGATTTACTATAGTGATAACTTTGGAATTTGATTTACTATGGCAAAAACTTTGGAACTTTGATTTACTATGACGAAAACTTTGAAACTTTGATTTACTATTGTGAAAAGTTTGGAACTTTGATTTACTATAGTGATAACTTTGGAACTTTGATTTACTATGGCAGAAACTTTGGAACTTTGATTTACTATGGCGAAAACTTTGGAACTTTGATTTACTATGGCGAAAACTTTGGAACTTTGATTTACTATGGCGAAAACTTTGGAACTTTGATTTACTATATAGTAAACTATAGTTAACTATAGTTTACTATAGTATTTTTTTGTTAAGGAAGTAGCGAATCAAATGAAACCGTGCGTGTTTGGCAGAAGTGAAGTCCATGACTGCACTTACGTATAGTGTACTGTAAGTCTAATAATAATTCACACTGACACACTGCGGACTTGAAAAAAAAAATGTATCATTGGAACTACAAGCAAATTCAAAGAATTGTGGTCCCCCGCTTTCGGTGTCTTAGGGGATGGGATGCCATTATTTATGGCATGCATATTGTAACTGTCTTGATTGTATGTCCTGTCTTGTCTGTGCATATAAATTATTGAATTAATAACAGTTATGACAAAGATTATAGCTTCTCAAAACTACATCAAACTTCAAGATCAAGGTCATGAGGTCAAATATCATAATAAAATCCGAAAGGTCTTGTCACAAGTAATGCACATGTGAAAAAAATATCAAAAGCCAGAGTATGCAATCGAAACGGTCTTGAAACTTGTAATGCACACGTCAATTGTAAATGCCTTATCTTCTCCCAATCAAAAGTTTTTAGCAATGTTAAAATATTTGAAAAGTAGGTCAAACTTCAAGGTCATGGGATTATGAATGAAAGTACATTCGGAAATAATTGTCACAGGTAATGCACGTGTAAAATAGGATTGCCCTATCTTTGCTCCTTCAAAAGTTAGCAACACTGATAATCTGTTTGAAAAATAGGTCAAACTTGCAGGTCAAGGTCATGGGGTCAGATATCATAGCATATTCGGAAACATTTTGACACAGGAAATGCACTTGTCAAATATAAAAGCCCTATCATATGTCATTCAAAAGTAATCACCAAAGTTAAAATTTTTGCAGATTAGGTCAAACATGAAGGTCAAGGGGTAAAAAATCATAGCATGCTCAGAAACACCTTTTCACTGGTAATGCACATGTCAAATATGAAAGCCCTATCTATTCTCAATCAAAAGTTATAAGCAAAAATAAAAATGTTGAAAAGTAGGTCAAACTTCAAAATCACGGGTCAAGGGGGTCAAAAACCATAGTACATTTGGAAAGGTCTTGTCATAGGTAATACACATGTCAAGTATGAAAGTCATATCTCTTCTCAATCCAAAGTTATAAGTAAAGATAAAATTTTTGAAAAGTAGGTCAAACTTCAAGGTCAAGGGGTTAGAAATCATAGTATATTTGGAAAGGTCTTGTCACAGGTAATGTACATGTAAAATATGAAAGCCCTATCTCTTCTCATTCAAAAGTTATGACCAAGGTTAAAGTTTCTGTGACAGACAGACTGACAGACGGACGAATGAGATTTAATGTCCCCTTGCTTTCGCGAAAGCGGGGGACAATAAATGGAAATGCATTGCCTAGTTTCATCCAGTATCCAGCATTATTCCCCTTGTCTACAGAATGGAGAAAAGTAGGACTATTTGTGGGATAGTATGTTTATTCCCCAAATTCTGACCCTGATAGAAAGAGTAGAATGGTCGGGGGAATTAAGATGTTTATAAAGATTTTGATGACCCCAATTATTTATTTCAAACATATGTTCCGACATTCTCTTTGTTGAAGGAACCCTTGGTTTCTCCAACATAAGGAAGGCCATAAAGATTGGAATTAATTCCATAGACAACGTTATGTAATATGCGACGAACCAGACCGAGAACCCTGAATCTCCAGTCAGATGCTCTACCAACTGAGCTATGGCCACCTGCGATCGAACCCGTCTGACCGCCACATATCTCCTCCTTAACCAACCCAAGCTCTTCCCTGGCAGGTCTTTCGCCTGTCTCATCCTGGTCACGGCACCAAATGTAACAGGAAGGGAGAAAATGCATGACTGGTCCGGGAATTGAACCCAAGACCCCTGCATCACAAGTCAGGTGCTCTACCGCTGAGCTATCCAAGCTGATATCTAAACCATTACAGTTAGAAGACTTACAACTCAAACCTTCAAGTTTTGGTATTAAAAATTTGTCCTGTGAAGTTGCTATTTTAAAAAATGAATGTCAAAATATCACAGGATTTACAATTTTTTGAACAACATTTGGAAATGGAACACACGGTGTCCGAATAGGAATCGTCAAAAACATCTCTGATCGAAGTTATTCTAATAAAGGTGTTGAATGTGTTCTACCACAACTGGTTATCCAAGCCCGTAGAAACGCAGGGAGCCCCCCCCCCCTTTTCTGAGTGTATTATTTTGCTGTAGTAAATTTTCATTAGGATGCTGCCCCCCCCCCTTTTTTTGCTGTTTTTTAAGGTCGAGTACTGTCAAATTGCAGGATTTGGACAGTAAATAAGCTTTTATTCTTTGCTTGTCACATTTTTGAGGGGGGGGGGGAGTCCCCCCCCCCACTTTTGAAACCGTTGCTACGGGCCTGTTATCTGAAGGCTGTATATGACAATTATCATGATTCGAAGGACAATCTGAGAGGCACCAGCCACTAAACAAATATTTCATAAATTTTTATTATCGAATGGCTTGAAAATGACCAATAGTAACACTCTTCCAACGAAAGTGTTATTCTTTTAACTCCGTGAAATAGACACTGGATTTATTTCTTTAAAATGAGTTTGTGTCAAGATTACGCGTTGTTTTAATCCTATAAATAGCTAAAGCTACCGGCTTCAACAAACGACATTTTAAAATACTTTACTTCTCTCTTTTTAAGCATTATATCGGAGGTGTAGATGAACCGCCATACACGAGGGTTGTTCGGAAAGTTCGTGGACTTTTGTCATATCTTTTTAATTTAACGTCATATTATATTCAAATTTGGTAGCAATATTTTAACAATATAAATTCAAATGATTTGTATTAAAATTTTTGAAATTTCTTGATTTATTTCAAACTTATTAGGAGTTAAAAACTGCGAAAATTGGTTCGCGGAGCAAAATTTAGTAATTTACAAACAATATACTAATCATATCCTCTGTAAAATGGCTCAAAACCAAAATAAATCTAGACGATCAAATGAAGAATTGTTAATTCCTTTCATATTCCAAATTATGACTTAACAGTTTGCTTCATGGAAAAGAAATCAATTTCTGAAGATAGGTAATCCTCATAGAAAAAGGCAAAAAAGGTGACGTCGTATAGGACGTCACGGAGCAGCAGTTTTCGATACAATTTTCTGTTGTACTCTGGAAAACGTCAGAATAAAATCTGAAAATGTTGTAGGAAGCATGAAATATCTCAAAAGCGGGTCATGCATATGTGTGTGTAAATGGCCCAGGCGGTATTTGAATGATATGGACTTTGTATCAGACGAGGACGATCTGTGAGAGAACGGATTCACCCAAAAACGTTTAGTTAGTAAGGTCTTGGAAAGAGAAAGGCGTGAAATGTAAAGTGAGAATATTTTGAGAACCTCATGACGCTATATTTTTGACGTTATAATGTTGTTTAGTTTGCTCCGGGGTTATCAAACATGTTGATTTGAAAAAAAAGTAAATTGATTTCTATTGAATCGAATGGAATGAAACTTCACACGTCAACAAAATAAATATTTTTACATAATTATGATAATGTACTTATATTAAATTTCTTGAAAATAGTATAACGAGGATTGACATTGTCCACGAACTTTTCGAACAACCTTTGTAACTGTGTCAAGGTTCAATATTTTTTACGACTTTGGGTAGACCTAATTAATAAAGACTCCGATAAGCTTTATTATTTTTTCATCTATCGACATAATGGTGCTGGTCAGGAGTAGATTTTCGCGCTAGCAATGGAAAAATTGTCGAGCAAACTCATGCTCACAGAATAACTGAAATGGTGTATATTCTTAACTATATAAACACACTTTGGTTCAGAAAATATCTTTAGTTTTGTGCATATTATTTTACTCTATCGTCATTCGAAATATGCAAAGTTAAACACCCCATTACATTATAATTAGAATATCGAAATACGTGCATTTTTGTAGATCTGACCACGGGCACTGGAAGTTAATGTAAATATTGAGAATGTGCATGGACCTTTTTTATACATGCACATACTCAATATTTACAGTAACTTCCAGTGCCCGTGAGAAAATTCAAATAGCTATAACCTCCATTACAGACTGAGGAGACGTTAAAAAGAGCAGAGAACGTCCTGAAGAATTGGGAGTTGAAGTGAACGTATAACGTTTACAACGACTTTGAAGATGGAGTATAATATAGCTGATTTTCTGAGAACCTTTCTTCGAGCTTATGTTGTTGAGTATTTGCATAATTTCATGTTTAGCAATTTTAATAAACGATTTTGATATACCCGGTACTCTTTTTAAATGCGCATCTGTAACGCATCAGAAGTATTTGGCTAGCAAAGAAGTATGTACATATCTAATATTTTTGAAGCGATATTCTTATTTTGATCAGACATCCAATAATAATTTTGCAGCATATTCAGCATCTTCCCAAGTCAAGGGCTTCTGATCCACTACGCTCCAAGTGGAGCGAAGTGGATCAGGAACCATGTGGAGTGGAGTGGATCAGAAACCCTTGACTTGGGGAGATGCACTGGCAAAGCCTCGTTTTGGTTGAAAATCCGTGTTTTTTTCCCCTTTAAAACATTACTTTTTAAAATTTCTGTTAACCTTGGTAAATAATTCTGATTTTGATGACGGTGTTTCCAGCTCATTAATTTACATCATATTCATTTAGAATGCCAACTCTTCTACAGTCCTACAAAATGGCCTGATAAAGTCCAGGAAATTAACTGGTATCTACAGACAGATGGACGGAGTGTAATACCACGAAATCACAAATATCTTTATATAAGACAGGCTTGTAGAAGATATGAACTATTTCAATTCTGTAGAAGAAATTTGTAGCAGTACATGTACTAACAAAAAGCCCATAGGCCACAACGTTCAAGTAATGGCCCTTCAGTTCTTTATCAGTAATTTTTTCCCTACGTAAATTAAAAAAATATATATTGTGTCCCAACCCTGGTGTAATGATTTGAACGAATTTGAATCTACCGGTACACTTCCTCAGAAAACTTTTACTTAAGTTTCATCTTTTCTGGCTCTGTGGTTCTTGAGATTTTTTAAATGACCCTACCCAATTTTCACTGTTTAATATTAATTAATAATTATCTCCCCTTAGCAGAGCGTGTGGCCCTTCATCTGAAAAAAAAATTCAAATCCCCTCTTCCTAAGGATAATCTGTGCCAAGTTTGGTTGAAATTGGTCCAGTGGTTCTGGAGAAGAAGATGAAAATCTGAAAAGTTTATAGACGGCAGACAATGGACAAATTTCGATCAGAAAAGCTCACTTAAGGCTCGGGTGAGCTAAAAATTACAATGTTCAGGGCACACTTTAACATCTTGATATGCTGTGGCTTATGATCATTTTTGGTACTAATGAACTATCTTAAACTACTTCCAGTGAGATGTGGATTCCAAGTACATTTGGAGTACTTAATTATCTCTCATTTTCCTCAGGCTTGCCATGCGAGAAATTTTATGGCATGTTCCACTGTAACAGGTATTCTTCATCGTTTAACATACAAGATACTTTGACTTCAACAAAATATGACATAATGTGTGAATGTATATCCAAATCAAATTTCACAGTACAACTCCATGTAATTTCAAAGTTTTACAGTTTACTTTATGGAAAACCCAATGATATGACAGCCTAATCGGAAGAAATAATGAATCTCTGTCTGTGGATATAAATATATTGAAAATTACAATCCATACATATTTAATTATTTTATTCAACAACATTAGGGGATATAAAAACATCTATATAATATATATACACATTTCATCTCTACACCTTTTCATTAATAAAAGGGGGCTGATTTATCCATGTCTCATGAATATCAAAGACAACTGTCAATGTCAAGTTCTGTCACATGGTACAATAATCTTAATTGTTAAAATTATGGTGAAAATTATGTTTAAAAACATAAAACATCTTGTGTTTCACACCAATGAAATAATGTTAATTAAAATATATCTACATTCAGCTTGAACATTTTTCCCTTGCTTTGTTTCAACAGTTCACACAGCTGGGCCATTGTATTCTGAAAATTACGACAAACATTTAAAAAAACAAAAAAGAAGAGGTTTTAACTAAGAAACTTTCTTAAAAGATATTTATTTTTTTAAAAATATCAAATATTTTAATCTAATATTTACAAGATATCTAATATAGAGCATATCTAATACCCTACATAATATTACAATATATCCAAGTAAAACATTCATCTCAACCTTCAGAGTTTTTAATCCCATGTTTTATATTCTCAAAATATAACCCCCCCCTCCCCCAAGAAAAAGGAGACATACTTGTCTGAAGTTGTTCCTATCGTCTGTCATAAGGAGACCTGGACCTTCTGTAAGATGGTGACCTATAACATATCAAAAATGTGCTTGCAAAGAAATATTCAGAAAAAAAAATTAACATCTATAATTTAAGGGCACATACATGTATGTTATGAGGAATTGGGTTGTATCATTATTTTGACTGGCAAGTCAATGTCAATATTTAATTGAACACTTTTTTGTTGAGAGGGGATGTAGCAGAACACTGTTTTGTCATGGGGGGGGGGGGGGGGGGGGGGGGGAGAAGGGGACTGTTTTTACGAAACCTCAAGTCTAAATGGAAATTGAACAATAAGGTTTAAAGTGGATAGTTAATGACCAGAGGTGTGTCATGACCTGGTACAAAAGAATTTGGTCAAATTCAAGATCATAGTGATTAGCTCTATAAATGGAGAACTGGCTCATATTTTACTAAAAGTGGATTATAATTAGTGGTATATTACAACCCTGAATATAGGTTATTTGGACAAGGTCACTGGGACACCCAGTTTAAAACCCTTGTCCAGTCTATATACTTTGTGATGGAGAAATTTTATAGGCTCAAACTTGTCACAAAGTTGGTTATGATCAAGCAGTTTGTCAAACCCAAAAACTGTCATTGTTGTAAAATTTGTCCCCTTCAAAACTTACCCATACTAGGAGGAATTAATGAAAAAAATTTGTTCTGTATGAATTAAATCTATACCTAGAGCGACTTCTGCTCCTGCTTCGTCTTCTCGGGGAGGGACTTCTTCGTCTTGGTGAAAAAGATCTGGAAATTAAAAAAAGAAATCTTAAAATATTGTAAATTTTCTCTACAGTCTCTGTTAAAAGACAGGGAAAAAAAAGCAACCTAACCAAAAATAAACCTTTTGTTACCTTAGGTCAAAAGATTTTAATTCCATGGAAAAATACAACATGGCACAATAACAACTCAGATGAAAGGTCTATGGAAGATTGAAATCACATTTATATCTGAATGAAAAGTTAGCTCCTTTTATAATGATTTTATAAGGAGAAACAGCTAGAAAATCTAAACATAATACTTCAACTATGAAACTAAAATAAAAACACTAAACAACAATTAAAAACAAAACATGGGTTTAATATAAATTTCCCTTTCTCCAAAAGGGTAGTTAACTGTTAAAAGCTAGCGCTCCCATGCACTTTGGAAACTTTCCTTGAAATCTTTGCAAATAACTGCAATTTTCAGAATACAATACTGAGTTCAGTGTATTTTTCAAAATAATGAAAATATTGTGAAACTCATGGTTAGTATGAAGCATACAAGCAAACCAGTACAAACTGGCTATAACTGACAACCCTGTACCATTGTCAAGCTGCCGTCCTGACGATAAGAGGTGATAAAGTTGAAATGCTGATGCTGACCCACGGAGAATAGGGAAACTAACGTGATGTGTATGTATCGAAGAAAGGCGTTGGAAAATTGAAGGTGTGAAAAAATTTGGGCTGTTCAGACAATTCAACAAAGCTCCTACAAAATTTAACTGTTAATTTGATTCTTTAGTAAAATGTCTTTGTATATCTGAAATGCTTATAGTTCTAAAGGATCTGACTGAAAAATTACTCAGATTTTGGGACAGCACTCTAAAATAAATATCTAAGGCTTATTTTGTTTCTATTCTTTTTTTTTTTAGGTTCTTTAACACTGTTAGATATTTTTTACCAGAATTCAAAATCCACTCAAATAAAATTTTGCACTATTTTCACCAATTTCAGTGTCCAAAACCAAGATCTAAAATACGTTGAAAATGTCTGAACATGACTTAATTTTAGATGATCTAGGTGAGAAGATATTGTTCCCCGTTTAAAGTCTTAGTACTGTTGTTGACGCTGATGGGCGTTGTGTTGTAGTGCTGATAAAACAGCTGCAGGTTGATATCAGCTGATAGAACAGTGGGATGTTGATCAAGTTGATCAGCAATGTTGATTAGGGCAGACGTTGACCAGGGGAAAGAAACGATGACGCCGACTGGCTGGGGGGATAAAGGGCTAGCCTGTAAATGGGTTCATATCAGTCAAGGTTAATATGGCAAGACAGAAAGAAATTAATGTGCAGTTTTACAAAATTTTCCTATTAATTATTTGCTTTTTAAAGTTATTTTTCCTTGCTTTCATTTCAATACTGATTTTCAAATTGATTTTAAAAAAATAATTGTGGAACAAAAATCAAAAAGGAAATGTTTGTAATATAGGCACAAGTTGATCTTTAATGAAAATGAAGTAAATTTTAATGTCATAAATGATGGTTTTATCTACCACAATAAAATGAAGGGACAACAAAGACACATAAAAACTTTTATTAAAAAAAAATTAATCATCACCTTTTGCTGAAACTCAACAAAATAAATAACACCCCCCCCCCCCCCAAGAAAAATTCCATATGAATGAAAACACTGGTTTTTGGAATTTAGTACCATAAAGCTTCTTTGAAAGTCTGGTGGCACATTGTACACATATGCAGATATACCAAAAAAAAAAAAAAGAAATTTTCTTCCTGTTTGATACACTAACACAAGGACATCTGACAGGTATTCCTGAGCTTTTTGCTGTAGCGAGTGTTGAACCTATTTTGTTTCTTCATCACATATTGATTTTCTAAAACGCACTCCAAACAAATACTATTGATAAATTACAAACCTAATACAAAAAACAAAAAGCATTTTAAGTGTTTAAAAGATTTGGAAAACAATTAAAAAATAGTAAGTTTTGACAACAAGTGTCACTGTGTGCTTTTCTTTTTAATGATTAGAATATGCCTTTTTTTAAAATTCCATTGCATGTTCAATGCCAATTTATAAACTTAATTATGAAGGACCCAATCACCTTGATCTGCGTCTTTCATCTCTGTAGCTCCTCCCACCACCGCCTCCACGACGTGTGGGTGGTCCTCTAGAGCCCCAGCGAGATTTTCCTGATGACATTTCTACTCTAACTCTCCTGCCATTTATCCTCCTGCAAATAAATTTAACCTAAGTAGATCTAATTAATTTTGTTTACATATGATTTAAGCAGCATTTCACAATGCATTGTTTTATAATTACACTTTATGGCTACACCATGTTACTTACGTGCCATCAAGAGCTTTTGTTGCATCTTCAGCGTCTCTTGGGTCCTGAAACTCTACAAAGGCAAAACCTGGTGGGTTTCTGGCTACCCACACATTCCTAATGGGGCCGTACCTGGAAAACAAGTCTTCCAGTTCTTGTTTTGCTGCACCATAACCAAGATCACCAATGTACACTTTACAGTCTAGTTTCCATTCTTTCATTCGATTGGCCATTTTGTTTGATCTATAACGAGTGAATGTGGTGAAAACGTTTCCGCCATTTTGGAATTTTATGCAAGCTTTACATGATACAGTTTGGAGGGATTTTACGATGCCCAAATTTATTTTATTCACGATAAGAATTCATCTTTTAAAATTATAGCGCATTTTTTAGGGTATCAAATAGCGATTTCACAGCTGTAAACACTTGCAAACTCGTATAATATCATAAGGCATAATAATTTCTTGACCTACCTTTTTACTTCCCTGCGTCGTTTTAAGCAAGTTTACATTATCGAAGGCTTAGTTTCGTATTTTCACTCACACAAGCCAATCTATGAATCTAACTTGGAATTTTGCATTAATTAGGCCTACAATGAATTATTGATAAATCAATTTGAATGATTAAAATTGTACCCCAATTATATGTATTTAAAAAAAAAAATGAAATGAATTATTCCGGATACTAAAGTACATCTCGGATATGTTCTGCTTTTAAGCATTCTGCACACTTCTGTGACGTAAACAGCAGGGGGTATGAGATTTTTAGGGTTCGACAAAGATTGTCGAGACTGTTTCACTGGTGTTGCAATTGCGTTTGCAACTTTAGGCATATTTTGGGCCTGTTTGATTAGCATATATGATTTAGCCGCTGTACACGACGCATATTTTATTTCCAGGTAACATTATATTGGAAATATATTTATCCATGAGCTCATTAATAAACAATGTAGTTGGTGGTTGCAATATTTCAGATTACATCGTATATAATAAAAGCTTACCTTTTGAAGCATGCCATTTTAAATCATTATTTTTATTCTTAAGATAATACATAGGCTGTTAAAAAAGTTAACAACTAAAATAAAACCTTTCCAAGTTAGCATAAGATCAAGGGTCATCCTGACTGTCCAGTCAATATTGGCAAGAACCAGTTACCACATTAAAATAAATAATGAACAAAATATTTTTAAGTTTATTATAAAAAGAGAAAATTTCTTTTATGTTGACGGTGCGACCCTCGTGGCAAGTGCAGTTGTGTACTACTGGATATTCACTCTTAAATTAGATCCACCTCATTAAGCCGCACAAGACATTTATAACATATAGACTGTGACGTCACTGATGTTGAAGGTTAGCTGCATTTCGATAAATGAAGTTTAATAGGTGCATAATTTTAACAAAGAAAGTTTAATCTACTAGCTATATGCAATGTCCATTAAATCAAGGTGAATTTATTTTTTGTGAAGTTTGAATTGTTGTTTCCGTGAGAATGTAGTTAGCAATGAGATGCATTCGCATTGCATTGTGGCTCTTGAGGTAATTTCAGAAAAAATTCATTTGGATCAATGTGTAAAGTCCAAATTTTCTCTTCCCCCAAGTGTTGTTCTTTGAGCTCGCTATTATTAAAATGATTTTTTTCTGGACTCAGTTTAACTATCAAATTCTTTCTGGGTGATAGCAAAATAAACAAGCTAGTGCAGATGCATGCAGCTCTATTTTTATCTACATGTACATGTATTTTATTAACATGGCTGAGAGTTCCTTATGTCTTTATCAAATTATGGAGACTGAATTTGAATGTATATTGATAAATTAATAATTTATATTGAGGCAGCTTAAAATAATTTGATTAGTTGTCCATAGCTTGCTACAAATTTTC